ATCCACGTTCACAGATCCATCCAAGGTAATTCTTTTAATCACATCATCAGCTTTAGTAGCACTAATTCTAGGGTCAAACAAAACAGCAAAATCTAATTTATAGATCCTAATTAGGTCATTAACTAGTATATAGAAGGTCTTATTCCCTGCCCCCCTACAGTTCTAATGTAACGTCCTTATTTCAAATTTAGTACATATAAATAATTTTCCTTTTCAATTCAATTTCAATATGAAATTCAGATATCATAAAATTTTCCTAAAAGTCATTACTACAATTTAATCAAATATTTCCATTTAAATCAATAGAATAGTGCAATAACATAAAACTTCATAAATTACCATAATCAAAAGTAAAGAAAAAGGCTATACATAAACTTCACAGTATAGTATATTAATTTACAAACTATATATTTAAGTATTTAAAGATCAAAATAATAATTACAACACCAAATACTACAAAAAGGATCCCAGAGCAGCCTCAGTTATTCTCATCGCTAGCATTCCAACTCTCTATCTCGGCTATGTCCTCGGCGTCTAGGTCGTCATCAGATCCCAAATATTCGTCGTCAGAGTCAGCTCTAACCTCTGTCCTCGTGACACGCTCAAAGGTCCAACGGGTAGGTCTTCCTAAAGAGTCGTGGTCATGGTAGGTGTATAAGTAAGTAAGGGCTGCTGGGGTTCTAATTGTACCCCTATACATATATACACATAAGGTTTGGTGTATCCTACTCCTAGGAAAGTCGAATGGAATACTACAAGCAAAATTCATCTCTATCATGACATGAACCCTAGGGTCATTCTCTACCAATACAGCAAATTTAAAATGATTTACACGCTGATATTCATTAAATACGTAATTTAATCTAAAGTCTACAAAACTATCTACTAGCCTAACTCTTTCCTATGGATTCGTCATCCTGGTTCCCTGAAATTATCAGTAAGGATGAACACTTATCTTATAAGTTAAAACATAATATTACTTTAAAGACTAACATAACATCACAATCATGGTCATGAAATATAAGGAATCACAATAACATAAATCTCAAAGCAATATATTAGACATACATATATTCATAATTATTATGTTGCTCTCTTTCAGATACGCACATTCAGTGCACTGTAATCACAATTATACGATGCCTCTAACAGTTCTTGAGGTCTTACACAATTAGGTAAATAGTCGCCAGTTAGTCCATATATACAGATATAACGTATACAATAACGTCCCCCTTAACAAAGGTATAGTCAGGAGTCTAGTCAGGAAACAAGTGTGAAGCAATGTGGCGCATTTGTTCTCAAAAAGAATGTGTACACATGCGTGAATGTCGCTCACCACCCTATATTTCCTCCAAATTTCCTATCATCTTCAGACTCTATACTTTCAGTGTATCTTTGTAACTATTCACACTAGAACCATTCAGCTTCTTACACTTATCTTATACTCCCTTTCGTACTCAACTCATTATTCAACAAGAGATCGTGCTTAGTAAAACACTTCAGAACTAAATTCCAAACAAACGGACTACTCGAACATATCATTAACACCCAAAATCAGCCAAACATATTTTTCATAATAATTCAATGTTAATCAATCATAAGAATCATACTAAAACACATACATAAAGTACTCTCATGGTTACAAAATAATTATTATGCTTAAAATAATAAAATAGAGCACTCCTTACCTTGAGACGAAGTTTTGAAAGAGATTTTGTGAAGGTTTTAGGTGAAAGGACCAAAATCTTCCTAGATATCACAAAAGAGAACATTTTGAGAAAGGAGAAACTTAGAAAACACCCACAAAGAGAAAACAAAGCTCTAAGAACTTACTTGGAGTTGATTGATGAAGTTCCCAAGCTTGGATTTGAAAGAAAGTTGAGGTTTTGGAGAGATTTTCTGAAAAGAGAGGGTTAGGGGTCGAGAGAACAAGGGGGAGCTCAAAATTTGGATTGTAATCCAAGTTTTCTAACTTGAAAATCCTTAAATACTCCTAGACTCGCGACATTCTCGGTACAGCGAGCCATTTCTCATTACAGCGAGCCCTTATCTCGCTGTAGCGAAAAAAATTAGATAAAATTGCACTTTGCTGTTTGTCATTCTAGCTATAGCGAGAGCTCCTTGCTATAGCGAGAGAATTCTAGTTACAGCGAGAGAGCATCAAAATACTTGATTTCTGGACGCTCTTCTCACCACAGCGAGAGATATCTCGCTATAGCGAGATATCCTGCAACATACATCATTTAAACTCTCTAAAATTCAAATAACTTAACAAATATAACCAACATTCAATGCTATAATAATAAATATAAAAACGAGGATGTTACATCCAAAACAAACAGTTCATGAAAACTTATTAGATAGGATTATGAGCATCCTCAGGGTGCTGAGTCACCTTGCTAGAGCTCATCAAAGTCTGCACACTTCCAACATTGTTAGAAACCAAACTTTCCCTGGTTCCAAGGTCCATGGATAGAGAGACATTTGGGGGTCTGTCAGTAGGGACCTGTTTTTTGAAATTCTGAGTATTTCATTGAGTATTAAGATTTAGGCCTAAAAGGTTTTGAATATAATTTCCTAACTTAGCATTCTTTTGGATGCCATTTTGAAATATCTTCATTAGCATTAAAATGTCTTTACTATCCTTATCTTTATCTACCATTTGAGTATCCTGGCCAAAGTGTGGGGATTCTGGTTTGTTCAGGTTAACTATAGCATTCTTGGTTCTTTCTATTTCCTTTGTTTTAGTCAAGGGTTTAGACTTAGATAATTTTTTAATAGATTCACTAACTTTGAAGTTACTAGGGTCCTAGTTCTAGATTTCTAACTAGACTAGTCCTTTAGTTCAGTCTTACTTTGAGGTAGAAGACCTTGGTTATTGGGATTCTCAAATTGAAGGTTAGGATTTAGGTCTTAATCAGGTTTACCCAAAACATCAAATTTGAAACCTACTAGAGCTTCTCTTCTCCTACCCAGACTACCTGATGTGCCCCTAGAAGAGGAGACTTAGCCTTTTTTCTAAATGGTTTCTTAACTAACATCGAGGGACCAAATTGGTCACTCTCCTGTTTAGAGCAGCCTCCTTGCTTAGCCATCACTAAATCCTTAACTCACTCATAGTTATTCATCTCATCCTCCTCTTTCTTTCCAAATCTAGCTTCTACATTATTAACCTGGTCCCTTACCCTCTAGGTTTCACTCAACAAATCCACACATTGCTCTTGTCTATGCCTATATTTTTCATAACTAAAGCATATGAGGTGCAAACCCTCATACTCAATCTTGAATTTTTGCCCTAGGACTTTAAAGGCTGGAACAAACTCCCTTCTCAAATCTATCTCTATGCATATCTTAGCAAACTTTCCCCTTAACACCAATGATGTATGGGGATCTATTTTCAACATTGAACCTAAACAATTACCAACCTGCCATAAAAATTTATTATTGTAAGGCTCAAGGGGTAAATCAGGGATCTGAATCCATACTGTAATCTTTCTCAAATTATAGTCTTTAGGTCTAAATAGGAGGCACCATTTCTGAACTAGAAGATAGTGATCTAGAACTAATTAGGGTCCTTCAAATAATGCATTCTTGTAATCATCTAGATTTTCAAACTTCACAAGAAAATAGTCATTATTAAGATCCATGATTTTCAAAGTCTCCTTTTTCCCCCAAACGTTACTTAGTTTCTGATTCAAGTAACTAAAACTCACTGATTTACCTAAAAGTTTTACAATAAGCGTTAATTTCTAGGGAGAAAACTAGTTTTCAATATCATCTAGATGTATCTTAATATATGGACATAAATCCCTAGGGTTATCAAACGACTTAGAATTCTCCTCAGTTTCTGGGTTCATATTAAAGTTTTCCAAAATCGATTTTAAGATGTCATCATCGTTAAGAGTCAGTTCCATATCTTTAGATTCAAGCACAATATCTTTATAGGAATAAGAATCTAAGAGTTTGGAAGCAGAAAATACCTGATTCGCTTTCTCTTCTCCGGCACATAGCCCGTCTTGCTTATTCTCAATCATCTTTGTTTCAGGATTCTCATTGCTTATTTTGACCTTCTTTATATTTCGATCCATCAGATCCAACTCTTTTGTGGATCGTTTCTCCGCATCATGACTCTTCATATTTTTATATCCTCTTGGGCAAAGAAAACCTCCACCGTTCCTCCCTCACACGCACTCTTGGTAGATCCACTCTGAACCAAGACTTCATGACCCTCGTTAAACAATTGAAATAATTAGCCCTAGCAACGCCTCTCAAGATTATCTTGAAAAATAGAGAAAAAGATTTCTTAAAGCCTCAGTAGCGCTTTTTTTACTAGTAAACCAAATAGTTGTACAATAACTTTTAAAACATACTATAGTACGTCATCTTACTAATTTATTTGAGTTATAGAATACATCAACTCACGTTATCGATTATTTAATTTTAAAAAAATTATTTTTAATACATTATCAACATTTTAATTATAAAATAAATTTAATTTTAATATAATATTTATAAAATTATATATTATTAAATTACTAAATTTACTATATATATTTAAAATTAATTGTAAAAAAAATTAATAATCATGTCAATTTCATTAAATAATTAACAACAGAATAATTACTATATTATAAATTATAATAAATGAAATTATAACTAATTCTATTGTTAAGATATTATAATTAAATTCTTACATAAATAAATGTTTAATAATTAAAAAAATTATAATAATTGTGACATATTAGTGATTTATATAAACTAACAAAATGTAAAATTTGAAAATATTTATTTCTGACAGTTTTATTTAAATATTATATATTTATCAATTTACACACATTAATTTACATCATACGCCTATTACATGCGTGTTAAATCATTTGATAAAGTGCACATTGAGATATTTAATTTATAAGGTTATTAAATTAAAATACGAACAATTAAAATCAATAAATCAAATAGTAAGAGGTTAAAATATGAAAATAAAAGGTGGAGTTAAGTAAAAGAAATATACTAATAAATTAATTTAATTATAATTTGTATGTGAACAATGCTTGCTGCCAACAGGAAATAAATAAATAAGACATTCGCACGTGAATCAGGAGCTACGACGTCGTTGAGGCAGCGTCATCCTCCATCTTCTGTTGTCGCGGCAGAAACACAGCAGAGACAGTTCCAGAAAAAAATGGTTAAGCTGGGGGGCGCGTGGCACAAAACATTAACTTTCAACGCGCCTCGCTGGGTAGCATGCTCCTTCTCGACGCGCGTGGGCACTCACAACGGAACCTTCCACTGCGACGAGGCCCTGGCGTGCTTCTTGCTTCGCCTTTCCAAACACTTCTCCAACGCTCATATCGTAAGAACGAGGGACCCGAAGCTTCTAGAATCTCTCGACGCAGTAGTCGACGTGGGAGGCGTGTACGACCCGCTACGACACCGTTTCGATCATCACCAGAAGGACTTCTACCAAGTCTTCGGTTTCGGCTTCCACACTAAGCTCAGTAGCGCTGGTCTTGTCTACAAGGTGTTTGTGTTTGTGTTTGTGTTTTGTTTGTTCAACACTCATTCACTCACGACGCCGTTTCGATTGTTCACTCTTTTCTTTATATAACCTAATTTGTTCCTTTTCATATAGCATTTTGGGTTGGAGATAATTGCCAATGTGTTGGGGCTTGGCGAAGAGCATTCTCATGTTCATCAGTTATATTCAGTTATATACAGAAACTTTATCGAGGTGCTTGTGTGCTTATATCATTATGATTATATCTGACCTCTAATCAAGCATGCTTATGTTAGTTATATCACAATACTTGTTCTCTCTCTTTTCAGGCAATTGATGCTACGGATAATGGAGTGAATCAATATGATCTAAATGAACCTCCCAAATATGTAATTAACACGAGTTTGTCTTCTAGAATAAAACGGTTGAATTTGGACTGGGTCGATTCTGACCACTCATCTGACAGAGAAAATGCTGCGTTTCATCAAGCAATGGCCCTCGCTGGTGCTGAATTTTTGGAGGTGACACTGTTACACTTTTGAAATTTCGTTGTTTACTGTAATTTTGGTGTACTGTTTTCTCACTACCTGCTGAACTAATCGAGCTAGAAACTAGTCGTGAAAAGGAATGATTTTTGTGTTTTGTTGTTTTTGGTGTTACAGAATGTGAATTATTATGCTAAATCATGGTTACCAGCGCGATCGATTGTTATGGAGTGTCTTGCAGCAAGGGAAACTGTTGATTCTAGTGGAGAAATTATAAAGCTAAGCCGATCTTGTCCTGTAAGGAACAGCCCACAGGGCATTTGATTAATCTCATGCAGTTTTTAATTATTATTGTAGTGGAATGGTAAATTACAATCTTTGATGGTTTTGAATATCATTGTAACTATTGCCAAACCTTTTTCTCATTTGTTCGTTTCACAGTGGAAACTTCACATACATGAGCTTGAGGAGGAAATGAGAATCAGTCCTTCTGTCAAATATGTTCTTTACCCGGTATGTATTTTTAACTGAATTAGTCAATGAATCTTTAGAATTGAATATGAGCATAATCATTGTTGCCCAAAATAAAATTATGTAAGGTGGTTTATTTGATCATCATATTAGGACCCATTCTTTATTTTACTATTTGATCTTAAATTTACATAATGGGTGATTTTTGTAGGATGATAGGAGTGAGAATTGGCGACTGCAGGCAGTGGCAATTTCTCCTGCTAGATTTGAGAGCAGAAAACCGTTACCCTGTATTTGGAGGGGTTTGGAAAATGACAAGCTCTCGGAGGTTGCTGGAATCCCAGGTTGTACTTTTGTGCACATGAGTGGTTTTATTGGAGGAAATCGAACTTATGATGGTGCTCTAGCTATGGCAAGAGTATCTTTAAAGGCTTAGGCATTGGTAGATTTAACCAAATACCTTTTCCCAAACACATGTTATAGAAATGGATTGGATATCTTAACTAATCAACAGCAATAGAACCAGAAATACACTAATCTTGGTTTTTTCATTGAAGCAAAATGGCTTCTGTGGTTCAGAAACATGGTGTACTCATATAGCTAGATCTCAAAATATTGGTAACACGCTGCTGATAAATGGATCCTTTCCAGTTTAAAGCAGGGATGCAATCTCTAGAGAATGTATTTGATATTTGTGTTGTCAATTCTAGCATTCTAATTTTCTGCACTAGTTCAATAATGACATTTCAATTCGTCAACTCTATTTCTTCATATGCTTTTATTGGCATTCTCATTATGGTCAAAATTAAGTCTAGGCTTCACTCCTCTGAAACGCTTGGCAGACCCTCTTTAAACCATGTGTAAAGACCACCTTCTAGATGGAAGACATTGTTATACCCGTTAAGGACCAGCACGTAAGCTGCTATGAGAGACCTGTGGAAGTATCAATATGTGACCATTAGAGCAACAGATGAATCACTTGAAGAGTTAATAGTAATTTTCCCCCTAATAACAGTCGTGAGAAGATGATATATTGCAGATAATCATATAACTTTCCTTGATCTTACACACATGCAATTCAAGTTATTAACTGCGTCTTCCCTTGTGTATTTTAGTCGATAAAATTTGACTTACTTCTATCTATCTTTCGTGTTGTTACCATTACTTTACACAAATAATAACTTGGTATATACCAATATAAATCTTGTTTTCCCGGTGTTCTAATTTTAAACGACTATACACTCCGTGGTTGGATGCAAAGAGCAAACACATCCAAAATGGTTGCCTCAGAATAGCCATACAAATGCATGCATTCCATAAAACGTCTTCCACCAATTTGGTACTATACACTTGTAAAGCATATATGAAATTCTATTTGCAAAATTAAATATCCAGAGAGAAGAAAATAGGCGCAAGAAAATAAAATTAATACCTTGATTGTTGACCTTCGGGCAGATTTTGTGATGGTTTCATTGTGCCCCCTGCGGAGCAAGCTACGATTATCTTTGCATTTTTATCTAATTTCGCCTCAACAGCTGCCGGCAAGAATAAAAAATCATGTTTCAGAAAAACAAGAAATGCAATAATTCAAACAATGCATAACGAGGTAAATTTGACTCTATCGTACTCTGCATGAACTCTGGGTTCTCTTCAGTACCGGCAAAAATACCAAAAAACGCAAATGCAGCACGTCTAGCAATGTCCCATGCCGTCCACTCTTTTATAAGCCTATATATTTGCACATTGATAGCATCTGGAGGATGAGCCTGCACTATTACCCAAACTCGTCACTTTTTTCTTTTGTACACCATAATTTATAACGATTGATGGAAATCAGAAACACAAATCCAACATTGGAATTGCACTACAAGCCTTATAAAATTTGATCTCTAACCTCTTTGAACTCTGCTTCTGGCCTTACGTCCAGAATCACAAAATTATTTTCTTTCTGAAGGCGCAGAGCTTCCTTCGCATCCACGCTTCTTACCTGCAATTTCATATTATGCACCTTTAAGTGTGTGGCCATAGATCTATGTCGAATCCAGTTTATAATAGTTCTTAAAAGTATTTTCAAACACATATTAAATATCCACTCTGCATATGATATAAATGCGACAATGCTAAAGGATGCAAGTGTGTTTATGTGACACAGAGACTGAACTTTACCCTTTTTTCCAGCAGAAGTTCTCGCTTAACTTTCCAGTCTTCTTCAGCTAATAGCCCCAAGAAAAGTGAAAAAATAAATTTGATTAAGGGGTTCTAATTCTATGTTGTCATCAAAGTGTCATGATAATTTAACTCACTCAGAACAAGTACCTGGCGACTTTGCTTGTTTTGTGGCTGCACTCTGGATAGTTAAACCTCTTGCCATTTTCAGTTGGTGTGATGTTTTTCCTGTGGATTTGCATGATCTCACTCTCCCCCACCTTGAATTATTATAATGTGTAGCTTCTAGAGAAGGTACCCAAGATTGTAAAGATGTTGTACATGAGTACTGTAGAGCAATTGATGTAAAAGCCGCCATGCTTTGAAGCTCAGTTTCAACTGAAAAATCCGATATGGGATTTCGAATTTTTTTAGTTAATGGTTAATATTCAGTAGTTGAATTAGTGGAAGAACATGGGATCAGCCTACATGCTTCTGTTATCTAGTGAGCGTGCTTTAGATATTGTGAGAAATGAGTATCAGCTTATTGTGGATATTTAAGGCTCAGAATCTTAGTCTGTGGTCGATGTTTTCCCACTCCTTAACTATTTGGATATCCTTCGTTGTCATCATTGTCTTCTTTTGTCCTATCTTTACCATTTCTTTTTTAATACTATTTTAATCAAAATATATTTTTAAAATATTGTGATAATTATGTAAGCTTAAAAAAATAAAAAAAATGTTTACTACTTTTCACAAAATTAAAAATGGCTTATAAAGAATTATAAAACATGTTTATAATATAATTATGTATATGTTCTAAATGTTTTTTATACGATTACATTTTAAAATGAACACGTGGTTCACTAAGACTTAAAAATAGCTAACGCAGGACCGGCCCAATCAATCTTGATCTTATTTTAAATTAACTAAAATAATATATTGAAATTATTATATATTTTGCTTGAAAATTATTTTTTAGATTTTTACGATGTAAATTCATTTTTTAAATTGTTGTAATTAATTTCATCAATTATTTTCTTTTTAATTTCTATTAAAGTCAGTTTTTTGTTGTTGAAATATTATTGATTTTAAATAATATTTAATTAATTGTGAGTTTAATTGTTGACATTGTTTTATAAACATTATATATGTACTAAGTAATTAACATTTATAAAAATTTGTAACTAGGTGAATTTTTTTATTCTAATGTTTATAATATTAAACAATAAAAAAATATATTTTAATTAGAACTAATAAAACATAGAATTCAACTAATAAAATAAATAACATATATCAAGAAAAAGTAACTACAATAAGATGGTGACTTTATTTTTTGATTAAAAATAATTATTCTTAATATTATTTATATGCTAATTAATTATATTTATTTTAAATAATAAATTATTAATAATTAATATTTTTAATTTTTATAATTTTGGGGAGACTTCAAGAAAAGACTTTATAACAGTCTGATCTAACCAAAATCTTTGCTTGGTAGATATCATGAACATATTATTAGTGCCACTACCCAAATCTTTGCTTGATCTAGCCCATTTTTCCGAATTCACAAGCTAATTATTTGGTTAATAATTTTTTGTTGTTGGCATTTCTCTATATAATTCTAAAAAGTTCCATATGAATGTCTACATACCATAGTAAATATGAAATAAAAATAAAAACATGTAGTTTACTTTAAGGTTTAAAAATTGAAATAATATTTTAATTGAAGAAGGTGCCCCCCCAGTTATTGACTTATAATGCATATCACCCGAACGCGGTGTTGATTATTGAATGCTTTGCGACATTAGTTAGGCAGCAAATCACGCGCATCCAATTTCTTCTTTAGGCTCTCCTAGTTGCAATATGGTATTGTTAGCTAATAAGCACAATTACATAAATAAACTTTGGGTACCCAAAATGACTCTGAATCGTTTGATGTAAAAGAAATTCCTTAACTCCAAAGAAGGGGCATTGCTGTCCGATCACTTATAATTTGATTGTTTGTTTAGAAAAATAACTTTTCATGTACTTTTTCTTTCATTCGAAGGTGTGGTGGTTCAGTTGGGACTTGAAACTGACTCAAGGGGAATTGTACTAGTACTAGTACAAAATTTTTAAGAACATTATTAACATTTTCTTTTCAATTTCTTAATCTCACTGTAAAATGGTTGATTCTCTCGTTTAGAAGATGAAATTATATAATTTATGTAGGAAGGAAAAGGTTGGCACGAATGGTACTAAGAAAAGTTGGTAATGTAAGTCAATGTGAATCGTGCATAAACGTTTGTGCCAAGTATAATTTCAGTTGGTGAGCAAAACAGTAGTTGGGAATGGGAAGAAAACAAAGTTGCATCATGTTTGGCTAATGTCAATGTCTGCCACGAACCATGACGATGACTTGCTATGCAGTCATGAAGAGATTCGTAGTGGATCAAATTGGTGCATTACCGACATTCTATAATAATTTCATTCATTTTTATTTTTTTTGGGGCATAGCTTGGCTACCTACCCTACCCAGCACCTTGGTTAAGGCCAGGAGAATAAAGAGATCTTTATTTACTCCTCCTTTTAAGTACCTTGCATAATTGAATGAAAGAAATACTAGTATTTAAACTTAGGTCATCTAAGTTGGTCCATGTTTTTAAATATATGTTGTTCAATAAAGAGCATTTTTGCAAGCTATATTTAAGAAGTGAAAACATTAAGTTGACAAGTTGGAAATTAATGCGTTGAAACCAGAAAGAAGAAAACTGGAAGAAAGGGAAACTAAATTTAGAAGAATTTTATATGTATTTCACTGTTTTGTAAAGTGCAGATAAGTTTATTTATTTATAAGTTAAGTACAATATGTTACATAAGATCACAATATCAAGTAACACCTTAAAAGTACAATGGACAGAATGAGAATCCGTCCTAATATGAAGGCTAACATATCGTAACATAACGAAATAACCTAAATCCTTGATATTTTAAAGAGTGAGTTATATATTATATTTTTAATTGAGAGTTGAAATTTAAGCTATTGTTCCAACATGAAAAATGCAAGTTTTCCTACCGCTCCCCCAGAATTATTGCTTCTTTTTTATTCTTTGACCTTATTGAACCCATAGAAAAGATTCCATCAATAGTTAAATTTGAACGTTGTGCTTTCGTTAAACGAGCATATAAGATTTGTTTATATTTTGCTGAAAAACACTGCAAAGGAACAGTTAACATAGCCATTGTTGCGAATTGCTGTTCCCAAGTAGGCAATTTTCCATTCTTTATAGGAATATTGATTATAATTTCTGAGTGTTTAACGCCACCCATTATGCTTTAATATCATAATCTGTACACGGTTATTCAAATGAAAATTTCGAGTAATAGTTTTTCAAATCCAGGTTAAAAGTACGAATGGGAGATAATTTAGATCACATATGTTAGATTTTCTTTAAATAAAAATTGAAGTCAAATTTTATATATGAAAAATGAATTTAGAGGATAAGGTTAATACTTCCATGAATATTTTTTACTCAACCAAATACATGTTATGTGTTAGAGTGAGTGTTTATAAGATTAAGTTTGAATAAAATAAATTTTGTAGAGTTAAATGTAAGCTAAAATTTATATGATTTGTGTTTAAAAGCTAGTGTTATTTAATAATAATAAAAATTAACCCAACATAAAAGTCACAATTTGTTATATCTATTTAAAAGTGAACTTAAAAGTAAAATCAAGTTTAACAGAGGCAAAATATATTAGCATAATAATTAAAACATGTTTAAGAACAAGTTTTCAAAGCTTATACTAATTTTGAGATTATGTAATTCTATGCATTGATGTGAGCAAACCTTACTGACCCATGTCCCAGGTGATAAAAGACATGGGTATAATGCTACAATCTCTGAGAGTGTTTCTTCTTTCTCTTCCCAGCAGGGAGCAGAGAGGACAAAGAGGCTGATAAAGGTTTTCTAGTTGGGAATGCTCTGTAGATAGTTCTTAGAAAAGTCATTTATATATAGTTTTGGGTGGAGACCCATTTTCCACAGCTACTTCCAACTTAAATTGATATTTTGGCCTGCTCTTACCAGTTCCTTGTTCCGACACAGATTGACCGGATGAGGTAATATAAATTTAAATTTAGAGCTTTGTTATGTCATTTTATTTTATTATTTTAAATACTTAAATTTAAATAGAGTTGAAGTTAATAATATCATATATCTTTCTATAAATCTTTCACTTTATAAAATATATATTTGATTATTTCTTACGTGTATTTAAAGGTGCGTATTAAAAAATATTAAACATATCATATGAAGTACTTTATAAATTATTATAAAAATATGTATTAAATAATTTTTATAATTTTAAGATTATAAATATTTTTTATAAACATATTATTTTTTAATTTTTAATATGCTTTATTGATACACATAAAAAAGTAAAATATGTATTAAAAGAAAGAGTTAAACATACATTGTTTTAAAAATATACAATTATTTAATATTTTTTATTGAATAATTAGGAGCATTTAAAAATCTTAAAGGTGAAATTTTTTTTAAAATATTTTTTAATGCATGTTTCAAAGCAGATAATAGAAATTTACATATAAGAAATTTTTATAAAGAATTATATGATGAATATATTAATGATATTAAACACTATATTTTTTATTACATATTATTATTCTTAAATTTATATATTTAATATGTGTTTAAAATTATAAAAGAACAAAAAATGATTTTTCATTATATTTTATGTTATTAATGTGTTGAATCTTATAATATTTTATAATTTTTAATAAAAGTTAATTTATATAAATTTTATGATATATCATTGAATGCATGATAAAAAAATTTTTTCTTAAATTTATAATAAGTACAAATTACTTGTACCATTTGTCACACACCATTAACTCGGTTGTAGTGTATATTTAGTTTAATGTGTGCTTAAAGATATATAATGAAAAGTATTTAATAATAATAATTATTAAAAATATATCATGTTATTAATATATTAAATTTTGTAATATCATGTTTCTTTTATTAAAAAATATTATATATAAATTTTTATTATACGTTGTTTAATATACATTAAAAATTTACTGAATTTAATTTATTTTAAAACAATAACTTGTTTTTGTTAATTTTTAAGGTGTTTTGATAAAAAAAATTTCTCAAAAATAAGTTATACTAAAACATGAGTTTAAAATACTGAAAATTTTGATCATTTGAAGGAATCAACATTATATTTTTCAACTTTTTGGATTTATTTTTATTTGATCGATTAAACTGACTTTTCAATTTTCATTAGTGAATGCAGGTCTGTTGTAAAGTCAAGTGTGACCATTGAAACATAAGATTGATTTATTAATTAATTTTAAATATAAAAAATAATAATGAATTAACTAGGGGTGTGGAACATGTTAAGTTATTGATTTCTCTTAAAAATGTAACCTGCAATTGAGGAGGGAGGGGTCCACAGGACAGTAGCGTATATCGAATAACGCTTTTGCAGGGAGTGGGAGTACTGGATCCGAGACCAA